CCAGTGAGCGGGAACCGGTCTGTATGTGGGATCCGAACCCTCGGGCAGGAGCGCCGCCGCGCTTCCCAAGCGGCGCACTTATCCAGTGCGCCACTGGGCCGGCCCCATTGTAAACATTTTTTTTTTCCTTTTTGTCTTTTTTCGTGACTGGCAACGGATCGCAACCCTCAGTGTCGCGCCCGTACCGGACCGGGACCGGCAACGGGATCGCAACCCTCGGTGTCGCGCCTGGCGCCTCACTCAGCCAGTGAGCGGCCAGTCTGTATGTGGGATCCGAACCCTCGGCGGGAGTGCTGCTGCGCTCCCAGGCGGCGCACTGTAGCAGTGCGCCACCGGGCCGGCCCCACTGTAAACATTTTAAATGGAAGCTTTAAGATAACTCTGAGCCAACAGTAAAATCCCTTAGGTAGGTTGACTGCATTTGGGTGAGTACTCAGAGCTGCTGCGCCCCTCTGGGCACTTGGGAATGGGACTAGCCAAAGTACTCAGGTAGACTGCTTTCCAAGTGCCAACTTCCAGCTTAGGATGTCTCTTCGGGGGAGAACCATTCTGAGCAGCCTCCATATAAAATATCAGCCTTGGTCAGCTCAGGGGTTACCTATTTGATCAAGATTAACCAGTTAAATGAAAGCTCTGGTTGAAGCAAGGATGGGAAGGAAAGCTAGAAAACTTGTGAGCTAAACGTGAGCTAAACTCTTAAAACATGCGTCTGATTCACTAAACCACCTCAGTAAACTGTGGAGGGAAGTTAGATTTTATGATCTCTGCATCTCAGACCCTGAATAGTTGTCACTGCTTCAGATGGATCTATTGACCATATATGCTACCTTCCAAATAAAACCTTGCTTCAGACTTTGCTTCTTGGGACAAACTGAGTTCAAAGTCATAGTTTTTCCTTCCACTCCTATCTGCATATAAATGGCTAATTAACCTGTCTCTCTCTACTCCACATTGAAAAGTGTGCATTACCTTTGGCTTCAAATATAACAGTGACTCTTTCAGATACTCAGAAAAACAGGATTAGTAGCCGTACTTATGTCCATTGCTTATTTTCCATGACAAACCAAGTGATCAATTAGCTCAGTAGAGCCAGTTGGGCAGCAGGTTCAGCTATAACGTTCTTTTTTGTTATTGTTTTTAAACAGGTAATATCTCTTTGCCAAAGCTGGATGAACAAGAGCCCTTCCCACACAGCTGAGTAGCTATTCTGGGAAGAAGGTACCCTGTGAACACAAGAAAGTGTGATGATAGTATTTTGTTACTGGGGACAGTAACGTTCCCACTTCCTCCAGTCACCTGAAAAAAACTGATGCTTAAGTATTTCTTCGTAACTGACTCTTATGAAGATAGAATGGGAAAGATCTAGCCAAAACAAGGAAATGAATTCCTGAAGCTAATAGAAGTAAAAGGAAAGAGTAAAACTCAGCTTGCAAGGAAATGGATCAAGTATTCACTTACAGGACTGTTCAGTATGGAAGACATTATCTCCCCTCAAAAAGACTGTCTACCCAACTGCATAAGTGATTTTTTTTAAATTTATGTAACTGGTAGACAGAGTATCTGATCACTTTGTGACAACCTGAGTTGTCATTTTTAGTTGCTGTTTCCATCGACTTAAGCAGCCCTATCTTTAACAAACATACTTGAATTTGTTCCAAGCAGAGGGCTAACTTTCTGCTAAGGTTTGAAGAATTCAAAGTAGACTACAGCTTGGGAATTCCTAATTTAGAACCATCTGCCATCCCACAAAGTGCTTAAATGCAAAAGGGATACTAGCCACATGTATAGTTTCTATTACAAGAATAGCCTTGGGCATGGGATGAAGTAGCCCTCTTCACTCCTAAGGTGATTACTGAATTGAGATGAATCCAAGATCGTGGGTTTTTTGGGTTTAAACCTGAGATACCAAGGATAAATAAGACTGACCAATTTAGGGGTAAAAGTGATAGAATCAAACAGTAGAGAGGTTCTTTCCTAACCAAATTGCCAAAGTTGGTATTGGCTAAGAATTTCCCAATGATCTTTATGCTGATGCTCATTTTTAAAAGTCTGGTTTTATTCTTCCCATTCCTTCCTTTATCTGCAATGCTCCCTTTTTCTTTAAGGCAGCTTAATTTACAAGCTTGGTCTTGAATTAAAAGAGAACCCTGAACCTGCCCCCAGGAATGAAGTTCTCAAACCAACACCAGATTATTATCTTTATCCCCAAATAAAGTTATCCACTCCTGCTTTTTACCAATTGGGTACTACTAGTTACTACTACAACTCAGTGTTGTTGTTTTTGTTTGGTGAAATCTATGAACTTAATCAAGGACAACCACACATGTCAATTACTAAACGTTTAAAATATATTTCTAAACAGAATGGGCCGACTCAGTCACAGTAACTGCTGATCTCCATAGCAGAGCAACCCACAGACACAGCACTGATTTTTTTTTTTTCCCATAATCAGGGGTGAAAAATATACAACTTGTTTCTGAACCAAAACCACAATTTCTGCAGTTTAAAATGTTTCGCTGCCAATATGGCCCTGGTAGAAATTATGTAGTTTTCCTTTAAAAAAAAAAAAAAAAAAAATTAAAAAAATTGCCTAAGACACTAAATCTTCAATCTGGAATGTAGATTCTGAGCACGAAGCAGCTCAGTTCACCTAAAAAATAAAGAAAAAAATTCCCAATCACCTGTCTCAGTAGGGCCTGAAAGGAGAGAAGTAGTGTGGGGAACCCCTGCTTTGGTATGGAGAGTCACGGCCCCTTGACCCAGACCGAGACCGTGAGTAGCCATAGCTGGTGCTTCTCTCAGGATAAACTCGGATGTAGGAAGTTTCACCCTAAAATTCAAAAAGAGTAAAGGAAAAAACTAAGAGGCAGAATAAGCAAATCAACACCTAACTTGGCTACTTAATAATAGTTAAGTACTGAGCACTTACTATGTGCCTGGCACAATGTTATCTCATTAAACATGTTATGAGGTATACTTTTTCTATCCCATCTCAAGAATGAAGAAAATTAATACTTAAGTTGTATCATTTGCCCAAGGTGACACAAATAATAAATGGCAACTTGATATGTCAATAATCATTCAAATATTAGCTGTTACTAATAACATCTGAATTACTGCCACTGGCCTCCAGAATCTAAGAACTGGAAAGGATCTCAGAGGTCATATAGCTAAATCCCATCACCTCATATATGCATCTTTGGATGGGCATTTATGGAAGGAGCCAGGCTGTATTCACCACATTCGAGATGTCAGGACCTGGATGTTCTAGTAATGCTCATAGCTTAGCTTCCTGACAAGTCTTGTGATGGTGCTATTATGTGACCATTTTGCATATGAAGTAATCTGAGTTCAGAGAGTAGCTCAACTAAGAAATTAATAAGCAGCAGAGGAATCATGTCCAGGCTGACTGTCTCCAGGCCTGCCCTCAGCCAGCATTCTCAGAAGATCCAAAGATGCTAACGTGAAAGAATCCAGATACTTTTTCACCTTAAGTGAAAGTAATTGAATTATTGTTACTGCGTCCCTGCTTTGCAGTGTAACTGAGGACCAAGTACTGCTCTTTCTTCTCCAAATTCAAGTCCTAGAGGACAGTCTGAGCAAAAGCATTGTTAAGCCATGCAAGGACCAGCCTCCAAGCCATAAAACCAGGGAATTGTATGAATCCTCAGAAAAAGAAATGAGCCCAGAGATCTGTGTCCTCCAGACATTCCTCAACCCCATACCAAGTCAGGACGGAATAACCAGAAAAAAACAATGTCCAATTGGTGGCCTGGTACCTGGTCTCAATGGTACCAAAGGGACAGTTACCACTTGAATCCAAAGCAGCAGCTGCCTTCCTAAAAGGAAGGACATCAAGAACTAAGTCCTCATCAACCATAAGATGTTAAGTTGTCTCAGGTTTCAGAGGATCCTGCACTACCTTGGGAAAGGAAAAGTGAAATGACAACTCAGCCCTGACAGCATACCCACAAGGGCTGAGATAATGAAGTTGACCTGTAGAGCCCAGACTAGATCTAGAGGAGGGGAAGCCATAATAGTTAGGTTACTGAGGGGCAATGCCATTTAAGACAGTTGTGAATGGGGTTGTATCACAGAATAGCTCACCACATGATGACAGGCTGCACTAGTATTCTCTCCAGGTTAAAAATACTATGAGGGCCGGCCTGTGGCTCACTCGGTAGAGTGCGGTGCTGATAACACCAAGGCCACGGGTTCGGATCCCATATAGGGATGGCCGGTTCGCTCACTGGGTGAGCGTGGTGCTGACAACACCAAGTCGAGGGTTAAGATCCCCTTACCGGTCATCTTTTTAAAAAAATAAAAATAAAAATACTATGAATGCTCTTGCTGCAGGGCTTAGGCATGGCAAATTCCTTGGCTTTGTCCACTTAAGATAGATTTTTAATGGTACTATGAGGTCACCACATGGCAAGTGCATGGCCTTTTACTACTTCTGTTAGGTCAGGCTTGAGTGCAGTGACCTGGGTATAGCTCCTCAACATAAGTTAGGGACCCACCTCATGAGAGCAAAATTTGGTGTCATCCAGTTTACGCAGGGCATATTCCATGTCTTCTTTTCTGAGATACTCAACCATCCCCATTCCATCCTTCTGCACATCTGCATAACAGACGTCCCCAGCTTCTCGCATGTGATCCTTCAGGTCCTGCCAGCTGCCTGATGGAGGAAGTCCTAGGCACAGAGAACATAAAAGAGCCCACATCATCCTTCAGCAATGTTACCTGCCCTATTAAGAGCCAGCAATACCTATGGTCCCTTCTTTGTAAGTAACTTAAATCCTGAGGGTCCCTAAATCACAAATCTCGATAAAGGACATGAAACCAAAGAAAAGCATGATATATGAGTGATAAACCATTTTCAGAAGCTGGTCCTAGGCTAATCTTCCAGAGACCAAGCCTTTCCAACAGAGCATGAAGTCTATTATAAGATTAGTAGTATCTCTCAGAATTCACAGCCTTTCTTTGTCCTTCATAATCCATGCCAAACTCCCAAGACTTTGAGTTCTAATTTTTTCCATTATGAAATTTATCAGTACCAATTATATCTTACCTGACTGGGTTTCCCAGGACATGGGAATTTTGAAACCAGCCAATGAAATAACCAAAGTGTAGCTGAAGGTAACAACACAACAACAAAAATCTAAAGAGTTTGTTTTCTTGTAGGTGTGACTGACAAACTAAACAAAGTACCTCTTAAGAGATCACCAACATTCTTCAATATAGTGGGGGGAAAGGTTAAGACTCAGACGCTAAAACTAGTCAGGAGTCATACAACCCTACCTGATGTCATGAAAGGGAAATGTGCTCCTGCTCTCAAAGGCTGTGTTTACCGCTCACAGCTCAGGACTGCAGCCATTTCCTAATAGTTTTCTAAGCAGGATTTCAGAGCAGCATGGAGAGAAAAAAAGATAATGTATGACATCCTGAAGGAGGGAATAGAGTTCTAGGGTTAAAAAATTACAAAGGGACACAAGATAGGCAGATACTGAGAGTATCACTCTTAAGCACATGGGAGTCTGCTGTGATTGTGTAACATTCACATCTTAAAAAGGTACCAGACTCTTTAATTCATTTCATTCCACTAGGGCCCTAAAATTCCCCTGCAACTTGCAGAAGGCCTCAGGTCTTTACCAGTGTGTTAATATTTTGAAGATACGTAAACCTCTGAGCTTAGCATTTCATCACTTGTTAATACTAGACAGAAATGTTCTATACTTTCCAATACAACCCCCAAGACTCCAAGATGTGGGGTTTTTGGTTTTCTAAAAATGTAATTCCCAAACCACCACAAAATCTGGCCTTTTTCAGAATCCAAGTCTGTGTAAGTTGTTCAAATCTGGCTCCTGGAATGCCTTTCTTGCAAGTCTGATACCAAGGTACATTCCAAAAGAAAACATCTTTAGAATTCCAGCTCAAGGGGTTTTGCCATCATCTTCCCTTCTCACCGCTAGAACCTCCTTTATAGGAAACATGTTTATGTTTTCTCAACTCCACGCTACCAGTGCAACTTTATTTGCAGGATCACCAACTCACTGGCAAGACAGGGTTTCAGACTGTCACTGTGCTCAGGCTACTGAAAAGAAAGCCCACACGTCCCATGCACTGAAGAACAACAGCTATCATTTCTTGGAAGCCAGACTCTGTGCAAAGAATTTTACATGTATCATCTCATCCAGTTTGAAAGGAACATACCTGAAACAAGAACTCGGAAATCAGATCTTCTTGTTGGAGGTCCATTCCTTCCACCACGGGGCCACCCACCCCGACCTCCGTAAGTCCTGGGGAACTCCACACGAAGCCGACACTGGCCATAATCATAACCATTCCTTCCATAAATTGCATCCTCAGCATCTCTGCAAAGAAATGTTTGGAGTTTGTGCTGCACAGGAGGCTGAGAAACTTCCTAGTGAGAGGCATGAGTAATAGGTATAAAAGGGAAACCCAGAGTGACAAAAAAACAAAAACACAGGATCTTGATGCACTTCAAGGCTTAAAGACCTTTCTATAAGCCAAATGATACTTGAATTAAAGTTTAGAACTGTCACACAGGGTTTTTGTAGGTATGAAATGATAATGAATGGGTAAACAGATTACTTACAAGAGGGTTAATTCAGAGAAAAAAGAATAAATTGCTGACAGATGATTGTGCTGATAAGCCAGTGTTTCTCTAAACTTGGTGAGCAGTTTCTCAAAAGGCATACCATATACAAGTCCCTTAATATTATTCCACAAGGCCTAGTGCCATCAAGTCTACAGAAAGAAAAACTCATTTAAAAAGAAGGCTCAAAAGACAAAGCAAATTAAGTATTTTGTGATGAATATAGACCTCTTGCAAGTGTATCTTTCAGCATGGTTTGGAGAACTAAATTACCAAACTACTTTTTGGGTACAATTTTACCAAAAGAGGTAAATATTCAATAAAGTTACTTTAATTCTTTCCTAGGGCTCTAACAGAATTAAGAATGCCAAGTTGATTCTCCAGTATTGGATGGGGGAAAGGATGGCCTCTCAGCTTGGGTGGACAAGCAGAGCTGAAGATGTGCTAATGATGGCCCTGGTCAGTGTCACAGGCACATAATTGTTTATCAAGATTGTAAAACTAAAAGCAACAAGGACTACATCGAGTGCAACCCTGACTATATTTATAATGCAGTATGGAAAAGGAGGAGCTACTAGGGGTTCAAGAGTAGTCTTTGAATACAAACTGACCTGAATTCA